AGATCCCTCTCCTTTCCCCATGGACGTAGGTAGTTTGCCGAACCACGTAAAATTATTTTGTTTGAGTTTGTGACCATTGTAATAGTTTTTAGGATCCCTCGACGCGCAGTCCTAGAACTGACGAGAGGAAGAGCTAATATCCCACTTTGATAAGATATTAGTAGGGGTGCCAAACTGTATCCGTATCCGAGGAAATATCCGTAACTGTATCCGTTAGGATGCGAATATGGTTACTCAAATCTATTACCGATAGGATATGGTTGCGGATATGATTTTGTAGTGAAATATCTGTATCCGTATCCGAAAATATCCGAATACATATTGGTAATACTCTTATGATAGTTTCGATTCTTAGATTATGGATTTGTGGTTAATTTTGATGATCAAGATGTCTAATCTTAGCTTTTCAATCATAATGAACATATTAACGAACTCTTTTTGTATCACATGACTATATTTTTCTGAATACTATCTAGTTTTCTCATATCCTTTTGGTATCCGCATGCATATCCGTTTATATATCCGCATATATATCCGTAACCGTATCCGATTTTGGCGGATATGGATATGAATTTTTCTTACCGACGTATACCCGTATCCGTATCCGTATTCGAGATGGATAAGCGGATATGAATATGGTAAGTGTCATATCCGAGCCGTATCCGCTCCGTTAACACCCCTAGATATTAGGCTTCAGATTCTTGTTCCCTTTGAGAAACAAAAATTCTTATTAATCTTTCTCTCTTATTGTGCACCAGAAACTCCACCGAAATTTCCGCTACGCACAACATAGAAGTATAGGAGGCATACTTGCAATATTGTCGTAGACAGTCACTGATCACTGTTCAGCTAAGAGCCCAAAAGTACTACAGAATTCGGACTAAAAAATTAACCCCGCAGTACAAGTACAAATGACGTTCCGTACAGCAAAACTAACTCCTAATAAGATGTCATATGAAACAGCAAATGAAAAGATCAAAGATCATAGCTCAGAAGCCTGCAATATGCCTCAACAGTTCCTGCTATGACAAGAAGTAGCAATCCTCACACAATTACAACATCACACTTTAAACTCATCAAACCACCGACAAACCAAAGAAACAACATGAACACATAACTGACCAAATATAATTTATCACAACCAATAAGCCCAAATTACCATACTTGACTTCACATTCTATAACGCCATCATGCACCAAGCAAACAAGAACAAGCTCACCAAGCTTGGGATTCCAATCCAGGTTGCACCAACAAATGCACCAGAATTGTTGTTCTTGCCAGAGCTGCTGTCACCACCTGAACCTGACTTTCCTCCGCTACCACCTGAGACATGATAAATAAAGAATGATAAACTCACAGAATTCTAACCAAAGGACGAATTTAACTTGTAGATCTAATTTCTGGGGTTTTACGCATATAGTCTACGTAGGGGTTTTTTTTTAATTGTTATCTCATGGACATTTTCATCTGTTTGTCACCCCGAACCAACCTTCTAAAAGCTCAAGTGATATAGTTCCCCAATATTAAGATAAACCTTCAATTACTATTGTTAGATAAATATTCAATTACTATATTGAGGTAAGGGGGTATTCGTTTAGAGGAAAGCAAGATTAAAAATGTATAAGTTCGCTTTCATGTACTCAATCGACGAGGTTTAGATTTGAAACTTGAGTTAACCCAAGAAAACCACCTTATCCTTTCCCATGGTTTGTGAGCATCACCACACTTTGGCTCCTCCTCCTGATCTTAACCTCAAGCCCCTGCTTGAAACAGCTCTCACCAAACCCAACCCCCAAGGATAATGGACAAATCTAAGATATCACCGGTCACCTATATATACTGTAGAGTGTGAGCAATCATCAGATTCAGAAAGAAGATGAATACTGCAAGCAAAAAGACTGATGACTGAGAGCAGCTCTTCTTAAAGACGATGAGAAAATTTGTTCCAATGCTATTATGCTAAAGGGGAAAAGAGTGGTGGTCGGCAGCCGCAGAAGAGATGCGAAGAGATTGTTGAAGATGAGAAGATGGGTTCCAAGATGATGTAAAAGATAGCTAAGAACAATAGAACTTGCACAATTCATTTTTACCAAAACATTAGAGATGTTTTCAGACAAATACTTTACACTGTGAATCTTGAATATTGTTCAGGGGATGGGATGGGTTTTTTTTGGGTTCACTTTTTTTTTAAGATTATAGGTGCTAGCAACTTAAATAGTTCACTTCTTTGAACTAAACTCTGTATAGTTAGCTTTACCTGCCGATTTGAAATGTTTGCATTGCATGGATTAGTGAATTATTGAAGCTGGAATATGATTCTCGATGGAAAAGGCTAGGTTGAAGATGAGGATAAAATAGGAAAGAAAAACCTAAACAGCCGTTAGTTTCATTTGGGTAAATCTGATGGAAATAAACCATGGGGACTGAATTGAGGTAATTTAAGGGTTTTGAGAGACCTCTTTGAAAATAGGAAAATTTGGGGGACTTATATCAAAATAGGTAAGTTTTGGTGGGACTAAATATTAAAAACCACAAAAATGAATTCACTATCCACCTTCGCCTTTTTTCTCTTTGTTTTGTCAAAGAAAGATATAATTGATTTCGCAGGTATATGAAATATTATTATTTATGTTATCACAAAATTACACAAATATCATGTAATAAAACAATTATTTTATACCATCAAATACATAATGTGCATAAAATATCTAAAAGATTGAATTTACGGAAAAAAACAGCGTGGATTGATGATAAGAATATCAAAGTTAAGAGTCTTCGCAGAGTTGCTCACTTACTCCTTAATCAAATGAATACTTTTATCATAATAACTACAATTCTACATCTTGTTTTCAGTTTTTTTATAATTGTCAAATAAATGAAGTTTCATCAAAAGTGTAATATGATAATATATGAACAAATAAATAATATTTTCACATCAACTTTCTTTTCACTACTTCCAAATATAATTTTTGTGCAAACAAACACTTTATTTCACTTTAATTCTGATGTGGGTGCATCTTCATTAGTTAAAAAAAGTGATGTCCACACTTCCATATACACTTTCAGTTGTTGACACCTCTTAGACCATATAAAATACCGTTAAAAGTGCTTGACATTAATTCATTTACTTGATATATCACCTAATATCTGCTATCCAATCAGGAACCTTATCCATTGTCAAACCCAATATTTAATATTTATCAATGTTACAGAAGGCGCTAGGCGGACTAGGCGTTCGAGCTAGGGCCTAGCACCTAAGCGTACGCCTAGGCGACGCCTAAGGATTTGCTTATTTTTAAATTTATTTAATTATAATAATTCACAAAAATATGTATTAAGTTCATATAAAGTTATAAATAACAGGCTTAGATCCATAATCAACCATGCATAAATACTAAATAATCAAAATTAGAACTAAAATTGAATAGTGAATAAATTTGAACTAAAATTGAACAAGATTAAACTAAAATTAACTAAAATTAGAAACAATGAATAAAATAACTAATTGGCTGATATGAATCTGCACTTAAAATATTACATTTATATCATGATAGAATTGCTAAACATCTTCTAGTACTGTGACTATTGTCTATATCTTTTTTCAAGTATCGGTATTAATACGTGCCCTTGTGACTTGTTTTCATAGAAAATGAAAAATGTGCATGCAAAGATCTCCATTGATGCCGGAGAAAGGGGTTGAAGTTGAAATGATATAACAATGTGTGTCACTGTTACACATGAAATGTAATGCAATGATCTCCTGCTCAAGTTCATACTACTATAATTGATCCCACACATCAGAACCATGACACTTCACATATAGTACCTCTATTGCAATCGCCACTCACAACGCAACAAAAACAAACAAAATCACAAGCAAATTTTACCTTGAAAGAGAAGAGGGCTGGCGATGAAGAGGAAGAGGCAATAGCGGGAGATGGACGACGGGAGCAGAGGAGGAGGTGGGGAAAGATGGGCGACGGGAGCAAAGGAAGCGACAACGGGAGAGGTACACGAGAGAGAGAGAGAGAGAGAGAGAGAGAGAGAGAGAGAAGAGAGAGAGAGAGAGGGATGAAGAAAGAAGACGAGAGAAAGAAAGGAGATAGGGTTTAGGTCAGATGTTAAGTGAAGCGTGTCGGGTCAAGTATGGGTTCGGGTTTTGTCTTTTGTTTTTTGTTTTGTTTGGGCTGGGCTTAACTGATTTGGGCCCCTTTTTCTTTTTTCTTTTTGTTTAAATAGCCAGGCGGCGCCTAGACGGACCCGCTGCCTAGATCAGGCGCCTAAACTAGGCGGCAAACAGTCCGCCTACGCCTAGGTCCACCTAGGCCGCATTTTAGAACACTGATATTTATAAATCTCTATAACGACCCATATTTATCACCTCAAATAAATATTTGATAATTATGAATGCATTACAATATCAAAAAGGATTCCCTCATTAAGCCTATGTCCTTTCCAAAGAGCTTCAAATAACAACCTATGAAGTACAAGCTAAATAAAGAAAACAAACGACTTGGGAAAATCTCAACAAAAAATCATATCTATAATTAAGAATTAACTTAAGTAGATAAACAACTCCAATTACTAAAACTTACAAACTGTGAATATAGTAACTACTGAACAAGGATAAAAATGAATATGCAAAAGGAACAAGTGGTCAGTTACATGAGAACCAAAACAAGACTTCTTATTTATTTGGTCATTCCATGTATCAGTTCATTGATATTCATGTTCTTGCACCATATATAGACCAACAAACTTTGATAAAATATTAAATTTGTGATTAGGAGCATAGATAAGAAAGCATTAAGGCTCTAATAGGTATATGAGCATACTACACTCACAAAATTAGTCCTAACTTATTTTAATAGACTAAAAAAATTGATTTAAAATTACTACTATATAAGTTGAAACTTTAAAAAGGATGTATTGGAAAGAGTCTTTTCACCAATATTATTCACACAATTAGTAGTCATTAGATCTTTGGGAAGCAAATTGTCGGCAAAAAAAACTATAGAAAAAGCATGTTATTTCATCTTAAAATTTTGAGAGGCGTAGATGTAATTGACCCTATACGTGAAAACACACACACTGCTAGAGCTGTCAAGGTCCAAGTGCTATTGCTTTTTTTATCAACATTATTCAAGTGAACGACATTAAATAGCAGATGATCAAAAAAACTGATAGACAACTATACAGACAATTTGAATTGCTGGAGCGACATGGACAGATGATCACAAAAATGACAAGTTATTGCAATAATACGAAAATTAACAGCACCAAAATGACGACTGCTCATATCAAAAGTTCAGCCACATAGACTTCAATAATGCAGATAAGACTTGTTGCCCCAAAAAAGAATCAAATGTAATAGAATGGAATAATGCATAGATGTCATACCTGGAGGAGTCTTTGCTGATGATGGAGGTGTAGCTGGGAAGAGAGAAGGAGAGCTCAAAGTAAGTAACATGCAAGTAATACACATGAAAAAGTAAGAAACAAAAACTTGATAATGGCTACATTCACAATTACAAAAGGTCATATACCAAGAGAATTACAAATTTCATGAAGATGTTATCATTTAGGACAGGAAAATAGCTTTTTTTATTGTTCAGATCATCAACTGTCACAAAAAGTTTAATCAAGTTTTTAACCACACCATAAGCACATTAGGTGCTTTGCTCGAATTACGGCCTTGACCCATTTTGCCATTAAACAGGTTTGAACATCAAGCACATATCATCATTATCACCACAGAAACCTTACATCATTGAAGTACATTCTCAAAATTCCATACAGAAAAGGTGTCACAAAGGAACTTCGCCACGTTATATTACAAGCCGTTGACCTAGCATCAATCTCCTATATTGGAGCCAAAACTCCAGATGATGAAAATTAAGGAAAGATTGAGAAGGGCTCTCCATAAAACCTAGTAAATCAATTTGGATGCATAAAAGCCAACATACAGGTTATGCAATTTAGATTCACATAAGCCATTAAAATCCCTTCTTTCCTCCACCCTTCAGCTTCCTCATAAATACTGTTGGGATATTTAGTTTTGTTTGGTGAAACATATACAAATAACTATTGACCATGTGATAGTATAGTTTTTGGAACCAAAAGGATCATCTTGGATGGAATTGGGCTGCATCTTCGTTAAATGACTAAATTTAATTCAAACAAAAACCAACAGGAATTAAACTTGATTAAGCGAGAATCCAAGAGGCTCTTAACATTGATTTTGGAGTTGAATTCCATTCACTGTCTTCAGTTTTTGAGGTTAGTTAGACATGAAACTAGTGCTTGAAGGGGGTAACATGCAAAATGGACATGCAGATTGACTGGTCTCTACAAAAGAGAATTTTCAGCGAGCTTTACTTTTTGTTTTAAGTTACAAGATCAGTTTTTAAACAAATTAGGACATAAGAATCACATATGTGATTATGGTAGAGGCTATTGTTCATGTGAGTACGGTACCTATTGACAGTCTACGGATCCATGAGTTTTTTTGTTTTCTTATAAGATGATGTAGGCCTATATAAGGGTAACAGAATATCAATAGAGCGGTTATCCCGGTTTGTTTATTCAATCCTTTTGAGTGCCACAGCTTCGACATCCAGGAATAATGCACGGGTTCAGCAACTTTATGAAGAATTAAAAGCATAAATAAACAGATATAGGACATTCTTGAGTTGTTAGATACCCATAGAGCTAAACCAGATGAATTTTGGAACCGTTAAGAAATGTAAGAACATTAAGCCAGAATTCAATTCCGAAATCAGGGACCCTGCAGTACTAGTTTGGCGACCTGATTTCGCTTAATAGACTGATGCCTTCACATGGTTTAGTCACCATACCCGACAAAAAGATATTTAATTTCTTTAGCAGCAAGTAATTACAGATTTCAGATCCCTCGAAATCAGTAGAAAATGTATTAATTTTTGGGAACCATTATATTGAAACCTTGGTCTCTGAGATCATACAGATCATTTTTTTTTTTTTTGATCTTAACAAAACCACGACATCAAAAAGTTTGTCGCCAACAATAAAACAGCAGACTACTCCATTAAATTACTCAGCACCGTCTATTCTTGCATTTTAGTCATACAGTTCCACAACAAACAATCATCCTCAAATGGGCTTATTAGCTGATCTGAGATATCAATTGAAATAAAGCATTCAAATGATGGTGATAATAATAACCAGAAATAAAATTACCTCCAGATTTGGAACACAGTGAAGTATTAGAATTCACGCCGCATCTCTTGGGGAGCTCGAGCGCCTGGGTCATATTAATACCGAAAGCTTTGATGATATCGGGAGAGTTGAAGAGAGAGCAAAGACAGGGGAGCTCGTTCTTCACCGCGTCCTTCAGCGGGCCGCAGCAAGATTCGGGGGGCTTCGTCGAGTTGAGGTAGTTGGCGCACGGGACTAGCTTCGACGCGCACGATGGGATCGACTGCTGCGCGGCGTGTGGACGTCGTGGTCGCGGAGCCAGCATCGCCACCGCGATCGCCGCGAAAACGAGGCTGCGGTCGAGAATCGCCATTGTTATTTACCAAAAGTCGCTCCTTTTTCTCCCCCGAAATGAGTACTGAAAAACCCTTTTGTTTCGTCCAGACGGAGCGTCACGAGGATAGGGGACGGTTGTCTAGGGATACAGCTGTCGCACAAAGCACGTGGTCAGTTTTAATTGCATTTAAGATTATCGCTATTCCTTTAATAATAATAAAAAATAATCGCTCAAGACAAAGTTAAAATTAAAACCTTTTAAATGGGCAAAAATCTCATTTGAGATATGCGCGATTCTTCATTTAAAAGACTCTTAGGTTTTAAAAGTGATGAGTAGATCCATTAGGTTTGAATCTGTATGGCTTAATCTAGAATATATATATAATAGGATTATTTACATTCTGATACCCACGTGGGATAGCGTAATTGCACAGATGATCCCCTGATCTGTACATCTACATAGATAACTGCAGATAACCACGTGGTTTGCACATCTACATGGATAACTCTGAAATCACAATGAAGAGCTCCAAATATTTATAAGTGATTGTGCAAAAATAGTAGAGAATCTATCGTATAATTAACGGGCTAAATAACAACTTAACATACACATCGTGTGTAGCGCAAGTTGCCTACGGATTCAGTGGTAATATCGCTAACCACCAAGTAGCTACTTTGATCCGATCTACTTAATTTGGCAAGTGACAATATTTTTATAAACTTTTTTTAAGGAAGAAAGAAGAAAAAGGAAGAAAAGAAAAAAATGCAACAAAAAGGTAAAAATAAAGAGGAAAAAAACTAATTTCCACCCCCACACCTAAATTTTGCATTGTCCTCAATGCAAACTTTATGATGCATAAAGTAAAACAGATAAGAAATGAAGCACTTACATTTGGTCGGCTGACCTAGATGATAAAAAATCTGCAATTACCTTTGGTGTGAGAAGAATGAAATCGAAATTTTATTCTTTTTTTTAGGATTTTTTTCATATATTTTTTCTCTTTTTTTCATTTTCCTTTTTTCTTCTTTTTTCACTATAATAGAACAAGAAACTCTCAAATGAGAGAAGAATAAATTCTTTTTTATTATTATGAGACAAAACAAAACAAAGAATGTAGAATGAATGATTCAACATGAAGAGCTTATATTCTACATCGAATCCTACCTTATTGCTAAAAATTCTCCCCCGGATTTTGAATAAATTTAAAACGATATAATCAATGATGTGCTAAAATTCTAAGCATTTCGGGGTGTTCAATATTTCTTGCAACAATGTAAGATAGGTATTATTGGTGTCATGCATTTTGAATTTCTTAGATTCTTGATTTGTGAAGGTTTGTTTTCTAACAACCAAGTCTTTTTTAACAATTTCCTCAATCTCAAGGTTCATGGATGAGGTACGAAAATTTGGTTATTGTTTATTTTCTAAGAATCTAAGTTCATCAAGAAAGAGTTCTTCAAAATTCAATTGAAAACAGCAAATGTTTAAAATAGTTTCCTTATTCTGACAAACCTGGTCTGCTTTTTCTAATAATTCTAACTCCTCACCAAAGATTTCCTCAAAACTAAAACCAGACTTCTTTTTTTCCTTTTTATGGTCTTTCTTCATAACACATAACTTGAAGAACCAGTGGATTAGGATATGTCATGTCTTCAAAAATTAGCTCAAAATAGATTAAATGATTGATATTATCCCTAATCCCAGTTTGCATGCAACAAAAACAAATTCTTTTTCTAATTTTTAAAAAAAAAATAAAAGTTAGTTTTTTTTTATAATGAGAAAAAAAAGAAAAACCTAAATAAAACAAATCCAAAAATAATCACTTTGTAATCACTCTAAACTCTAGGGTTAAGCCTAACTCAGCTAGACCAACTCCTAACCAAAAACTCCTTAAGTGAAAAAAAAATCAAAATTTTACTCGGTCAGTTAGCCAGGTAAGGATAATATTAGAGGGTGATCAGAGATCAATTAAGTATCTCGTTCCTTACAGAGCGCTTTACGTAACCCCTAAACCTTGTCTTAGACACCAACTAATCCAAGAAAACTTAAACTGGTTCACTTAGGGATTTCTTGTTTCTTATTGAGCTCGACTCCTTAGGGGCCGACGTCTAATGAGTTTTAGAAATGCTTGGGTTTGTGTAGTGAGGAATTAGTGATTTGTAGGCTAAGAAAAGTGTGATGAAATCTCTCACCTTATATTGATTAGGGGGTATTGTACTTATGAATATTTTCAAGTGTGTGTCAAATCAAAATGCTCAAATTATTTAGGTGAATTCCTACTAACTATATGCAAAGCAACCCTATGAATTAAAAGCAACTACAAAAGAATGATAAAAAAGAAAAACTTTTTTTAAAGGTTAGCCATCAAACAAATGTGAGAAGAGAGCTCTTGTTTGACTATATTATATTATTAGTAATTATTCAAATAGAGGGTGAATTTTATTATGGTTGATGAATTTTTTTTTAGATCCTAATTGTCGCTAATTGTGAGGAACTAACTAAAGGTGTGGAATTAAAAATATTAGGAATAAGACTTACCACAAGTGAATCTCCAAATCCTTAATCTTCAATCCTTGATCTTTAATCTTCAAGTAGTTCTTTCATAAGAAAACACTCAAATTAAAAAACTAAAATAATTAAAACCTACTTAGCACCTTCCCCGGCAACGACGCCAAAAACTTGATGCGGCATAAACATCATTCTCCCTTTAAAAGAGGGAGTACTAGAAAAACTTTTTCTACCCTAAAATATCCTTCATCTATCATAAATATAACAATTGTTTATTAAAAATTTAAAACTAATAATTAAATAACTCAATACTTCTGGTCACTAACAATTGTTTTAATTAAATCTCTACCTTTTTTGGCTCTCTGTAAAAGTGAAAACTCATTAGACCGATCAACTACCCCACTTCGCAACTCCAGCTAATCCCTCCCCACTCTCTCATGTTCCCACTTCCCTGAGATCCTTCAAAACGTTACTAGACCAATATAATTACTACTCATTGCTACAACTTTTTAATTCTCCATCTTTCTCAACGGAAGGTATCAAGTTTATAGTGTTTAGTGGTTCTGTAAATTGCATGCTGGCTCAGATTTGATGGAACTAAGAAAGTGCTTTTCTTGATTGTAAGTATTGAATTTATTGTTTTAATTTTTTCTTATTTATTAATTTGTTTTTTCTTATTTCTTATGTAGTTTTTGGATTACGCATTGCAGTTAGTTCTAGATATGTGTCATAATTTTTATTTCCCCTCTTTTTTAATTTTGATTGATTGATGTAGTGCTTGGGGGTTTAGCGATTTCAAGTTGGTTGGAAAACCCATCTATCAAGGTAATTTTACTCCCTATTTTTTTTGCTAATTAATAAAATAAAATTTCCTAATGTGAAGAACATCTCCTACGTTTACATAATTTCAATAGCTGGGTTATTAGTTTGTGAATATGTTATTTAGCAAATGACAGTAAGGGGTTTTAGGGATGTATGAAGTTATTGATTTTTAGAATTTTAGGTGTTTGGATTACAAATAAGCTTTAAAGATAACTTTGAGGAAACTTATGAGCAAGAAACTGCCTTCATTTTGATAGAATGGATTGATGCCGGTAGTTAAATATCAATACTTTTCACACATGTTGTTGAAAGATATGATACCCTAATTCTATAAGTGACTATTTGTGATGTAGTTTTGTTTTTGGTATATGTTACTTGAGTAATTTAATAAAAAAATTATGATTCTTTTCTGCAATCTTTAGGATTCCACTGTTGTCATAGCTGAAACATTTGGTAACTAATAATGATCTCTACCCTTTTTGTGTCTCTCTATAAAAGTGAAAACTCATTACACAGATCAACTCCCCCACTTTGCAACTCCAGCTAAGTTGATTCCCTCCCCCACTCTCTCATGTTCCAACTTCCCTTAGATCCTTCAAAACATTTCTAGATCAATATGATTGCTACTAATTGCTATGACTTTTTAATTCTCCATCTTTCTCAACTAAAAGTATCAAGTTGAGAGTGTTTAGTGGTTCTATAAATTGCATGCTGGCTCAGATTTGATGGAACAAAGTAAGTGCTTTTCTTGATTGTAAGTATTGAATTTATTGTTTTAATTTTTTCTTATTTATTAATTTTTTTCTTATTTCTTATGTAGTTATTGGATTACACATTGCAGTTAGTTCTGGATATATGTCATAATTTTAATTTCCTTATTTCTTATGTAGTTATTGGATTACACATTGCAGTTAGTTCTGGATATATGTCATAATTTTAATTTCCCACTCTTTTTTAATTTTGATGTAGTGCTAGGTTTAGGGATTTCACATTAGTTGGAAAACCCATCTATCAAGGTAATTTTACTACATATTTCCCCTTTCTAATTAACAACATAAATTTTCTAATGTGAAGGACATTTCCTATGTTTACATAATTTCAGTAACTGAGTTATTACTCAGCGTGGTGCTCCAATTTTGCATCTCCTTTCTTAATTTGTGAATTCATTATTTAGCAAGGGACAATAAGGGGTTTTAGGGATATATGAAATTACTTATTTTTAGAATTTTAGGTTTTTGGATTACAAATAAGTTTTAAAGGTAACTTTGAGGGAATTTATGAGCAAGAAGCTGCCTTCATTTTGATAGAATTTTTAAGCGTATGAATTTATCATGGATAGCTGCCATAATACCTTTGACTATGTATCTGTATATCATGAAGGGGTGTCTCATGAATTTATCATGGATAGCTGCCATAATACCTTTGACTATGTATCTGTATATCATGAAGGGGTGTCTCAATTCAAACTATGTGAATTGTGTTTTTGTTGTATGCATTAATTTCTTCCAATGTTGTTAACAATGTTTCGGAAACAATATCAGATCTCACATTGTCCATGTAATGCCATAAATTTTAGTTATTTATTTGTTATTTGCACCATAAGATAAAAGGGATTTCGGGAATCGCAGGAAAATTTTTTAGATTTTTTGTTGAGTTACGGATCTGAAAATATCAAGGGCATTAGCCATTAGCAAGAGGATTATAATTTCTTCCAATGTTGTTAACAATGTTTCGGAAACAATATCAGATCTCACATTGTCCATGTAATGCCATAAATTTT